TTGTATTCCAAAATGACGGACCCGACAACGTCGCCAGAAGACCACTGGAAAGTAAGTTACTGATGTTAGGTGACCTCAAGTTTCTGGCAGATTAATTCGCACGTCTGCCTTGTGACAGTAGCGATAAGTGGCAAACATTGTTTTGTCTAAAAGTTGAAGTTTTGCTAACGTTACGGGAGAGCTCGTCTTTGTTAGCTTGACAGCTAACGTTAGCTTGGTGACGTTTGCTAACGTTATGAAGCGACAGCGGTTAGCTAGCTGATTAAGTAAACAAAACGGGGAAGTTTATGTTCCTCGTGTGGAATTTTGTCTTAGTTGAAAATAGATGTGCACCCATCTAACGTGACATCTCAGTTTTTGCATTTCTTGTTTCTTTCTGTCAAACATCCACGTGAAGTTAAGTGCAGATGTAACGTTAAATCTAACTTTAGTAACGTTCATATTGCAGATTCATAGCTGTTTGCAGCCCCGCAACATATAAATTCAGTAGACACCTGTATATTTGTCACTAGGAAATTATTTGGTCCATTTCCCTTGTCAGAAGTATTGCTCGGGGCTCTTTATAATCATTAATATAATGTCGTAAATAGCAATAACCAAGCTGGTTCCCATTCAGCTGTAATCGTAAAATTAACATGTTTGTGGAATGTCACTTAAAAGATAAGTTTCCAGTCTTCCTCGTGACAGGGACTGCTAAATAAAGCTGTGGAATAAACATATGAAAGTCTTTAAGAGGCCAACAAGGTTTTATTCAGAGACTCTGTATTAATGTGATCTCTGCTGTAGGTAGAGGGAGTGAATCCTAATAATCTTAATAATCAGAGTAGTCATTGTCAAATACCCTAAACATCTAGCAAGACTTAGTGTTGAAGAGAATACATTTTTCAGGGTTTTATCCCCTTGAATCACTGGGGGGACATGGCCCCAACTTTGGGAACCACACATTACTAACTAGGAACACTAGGAACTATTGTTGTGGTGGCCTAGATCAAATGGTGAAGTCTGTGATTGAAGTCATAATTTGGTGCAGCTCTTTACCCTCCTGCATACTTGAATTGGAAAAATCAGGGCAATGCTCAGTGGGGGTTTAGACCATCTATCAGGCAGGCTAGCTATTGGTCGTTTGTCAATGTATTTTGGGTAGCATAATTTCCCACTTGTTATTCCAGTCTCTAAGCCTCTATTTTCTCCTTTTTGCATCTTCTCTTGTCTGGTGATGGCTCTGCAGACAGACGGTGCTTTCAGCGACAGTGGCTTTGACCCTAGTGAGTCTTCAGTTCATATTCTGTTTTTTGTCATATCATTTCATATTTAGGCGATGTGATGTGACCTTGTGTTTCTGGCCTCTGAGATTAGCATGTCAGTCTATTTCTGGTTTTGCTGTGAAAGATCTTTGATGTTTGCTGTCTTGCTGTGTAGGTTTCTTTGCTGAAACTGCCGGAAAGGGTACAATTGGGTCCAGGGCCAACAGCATCGGCTCAACAAGTGCCTCTTCAGTACCAAATACAGGTATCATGTTTGTAACAGAGGGGATCTGACATTGCTGAAAGTTTCTAGAGAGAATTTCTGCTACATTTTAGAAACTAAAAAGTCCAGGCATGTGTAAACGGTTTTAGACCAACAGATTTTTTAAACTAATCATCATCAGTTAATAAATGTTTCCAAAACGTTGTATTGAACAACAAAATGGTTCATTTTGGAGAGGTTAGAGGCACTTTCCTTATTCTGAATGTTAATATATTGTTGAATAGATGATGAAGACAGTGACTACAGACATGAGACGTCATATAAGGACTCGTATAAAGATCGACGAAGACAAGCGCACACACAAGCTGAGCAGAAGCGTAGGGATGCTATTAAGGTAAGTCTACAATACACTGCAAATAAGATGTAGGTCTCTGTGACTTATTGCAGATACACCACACACCTTTTTAGAAATGTTTGAGTTGTCTTTTTTTATGTTTTCATTTGTTTAGTAGTTAGTAATGACCTCTAATTTTTATTTATTTATTTATTTTTTAGAAAGGCTACGATGACCTGCAGTCCATAGTACCAACCTGCCAGCCGCAGTCTGAATTTGCAGTGGGAGCACAGAAGATCAGCAAAGCTACTGTACTGCAGAAAAGTAAGATGTGATCTTATTGGATGAATGTGATGTATTTATTTGGAATAGTAGTTAATACATAATTTGACATCTCACTATCTCTATCTGTGATAGTAAATGAGAGCAAGTCAGTACATTATCTTTCTACTGTACTTTATTATCTAGCAGTTTTCCATTAGAGTCCTGTGGTGCTTAATTGGTTGAACATGGCGCAAAAATCTGGCAGAGCCACATGTTTGTCACATCAGTCACGTGACACAAATCTTCATGTTTATTATACCCTCCATTAATACTTCAGTCTCGCATGCTCACATTACACCAAGCAAGCAAAAAAAGACAAGAATGAAAAAGAAGAAAAGGCACGCATAGATATAAATGAGCATGTTCAGATCACCTGAGTTTAAAGTTTAATAGAAAGATGGAGACAAACATTTCACCAAGTACAGAGAAAACTGCACTTTTTATTGTATGTATGGGAGATGATTGTGAAGGGACAACACCTCCTATTTTTTTTTTTTTTGCAGCAATTGACTACATCCATTTTCTTCATAAAGAAAAGAAGAAGCAAGAGGAAGAGGTTTCTGTACTAAGGAAAGAAGTGATGGCTCTGAAGATCATGAAAACGTGAGATGGTGGTTCACAAACATTCTCAGCAAACACCCCCCCCCCCCCGTATAATTTTCTCTACAGTCCCAATATGTGGCAAACTAAGACCTCCCTACTTGTTCTGCATCCAGGCAGATAAAAATATAGATTTTAAAAAGTTTATTTCTTAGTGAAACAGTCATGGCCATTCATTAAATTGTATATTTTGCAATGCCAGTGAACTGTGATTGTCTTTATTAATAGGAACTATGAGCACATAGTGAAGGCCCACCAGAACAACCCACAGCAGGGAGAGGATCAGGTGTCTGACCAAGTCAAGTTCAACATCTTTCAGAGCATCATGGACTCCCTGTTCCAGTCTTTCAGCAATTCAGTTTCAGTTAGCAGCTTCCAAGAACTCTCCGCCTGTGTTTTCAGCTGGATCGAGGAGCACTGCAAGCCACAGGTAAGACCCAGTAAAAAATGGTCAGTGTTGCTTTGTTAATGTTGAGATAAATACAGTTTGTGTGTTTCTTCTGTTCTTTTCTAGACGCTGAGGGAGTTTGTTGTTGGGGTGCTCCGGCAGCTTAATGGTCAGCTATATTGACCGAGTGAAAGCACTGGATTGAACTCTGAGAAATTGACTTTGGGCTTGCTCTGGCCTCTCAGGGTGGAGTAAAAACTCCAATCAGCCTCAGGCCACACCACAGTATTTACACTTACTTCAGCTCATCGGTGACTCCCTGGCTGCAATTGGATTACATCAACCCACAAATTGGATTGAGTAGTTACATGTTTAAGAAGGACTTTCTGATTTTAAATGCACATCCATACACATAGCTGAGTATGTTTCAGCATCTGCTGAAATGATGTGTCTTACTATTGTTCTGTTAAGAAATTAAGGTGAAACGTAAAAGTAACAGCTTTCAAATGAATGTGTATGTTTAATACATCAGGGGTTTTCAAAGTCTGAGACTGCATGCCTCCCCTCAGACAACTATAAAATCCCCCCCTTCTCTTTAACACAACCACACACATTTTAGGATATTAAATGTGATCTCTTTGGTAACTAATTATTATTAATATAAATATAATTTTTTCACTGAGCCTCCCTTGAAACAGTTAGGAGCCTCCCTGGGGAGGCACGCCACACACTTTGAGCAACTCATGAGCCACACCTTCTCCTCTGTTATGTCAAGCATAACTCTGCAGCCTAATGCTGATCCAAATGGCTCCTGTCCGCTTCAGCGCACAACCATTGAGTCAGCCATACCACTCCTGAACTCCAGCAGACAATGGAAAATACTCTACTACTGCAGAGTAACTGTCCTTTCACTTCACTGTGCAACCATGCTCTATGGTGCTTCAGGATTTTATCACTGAGGTTTGATTACAACAGACTTTCCTGCCTTTTAGTGTGGTGGGAGGGTTTCATTTACGCAGCTCTGACAATTCGCTGAAATCTCACGGGTGACAGGTATGCAATGTATGCAGCATAAAGATTTACCAATCATTGTGTGTGTGTGTGTGTGTGTGTGTGTGTGTGTGTGTGTGTATATATATATATATATATATATATATATATATATATATATATATATATATATATATATATATATATATATATATATATATATATATATATATAATATATATATATATATATATATATATATATATATATATATATATAATATATATATATATATATATATATATATATATATATATATATATATATATATATATATATATATATATATATAAAATCTGACTATATTTGAGCTACCCTACATGTTGTTAAATACATGTGCTATTTAGTTGCAGATGTCTTGTTTATTTGGTAGATGTTAAATACAAAATGAACCTTTCAGTTTACTTGACAATTTCAATTACTTAAATCTTTGTGGTTTGACCTTGACGAATGTTACTTACTTTGTTCGTCAGTGACTTTTATGATCCTTCCAAACAGATCATTCCAAATGGTGCACTAGTCAGCAGCACTTGTAGAAAATGGTTTGACTATTCAGGACTGATCCTTCTTGAAAAGCATCACTGTAACCTCCACCAGTTGCACGGTCCTGGTGAGAACCGTGCACAGGGCAACGCACAAGGACTTACAGCCACTGTACTGAAGTCAAGTTTTTCATGCTTTGATCTTTACACATGATATAAAGCTGATTTTCATGATGATTTTGAAAGTTTTGTTTCCAATATGTGAGTAAGTCATCTGCCATACACATGGCTAAGCTGTTAGCTAAGAAAAGAGTGGCTTTATTGTTGCTGTAATCACAGGGAAGTAAAAGTTTTTGACCCAGTCTTGTTGCTTCATGTATTTTCTTTTGACTGTTTTATAAAAGCCATCTATTGTGTATCACTATCTAAAAAGTGACATAAACATATGTAATGAAATATACTGAATGTTTGTCCTGTTTAATTTCCCCCATGTAAAATGGAAATAAAGTGTGTAAGATGATAACCGAGCAGGACAAATCCTGTAGCTGGGCAGCAGTCTCCATCTCTACACCCAGGGAACCTGTAAAATCTGTGTGTTGATGTTTTAAGATGGTTAACCAAAAAATGAGTCTGGTTCTTTTGTTGGTGAAATTCTGTGACCACTAAAGCATCAAAAGTTACTGTCATGAACATTTAATAACTTGACAGCAATATAGAGTGAAGAAACAGTACAAAAGATGATAATACCTGAAGGCCATGACTAACCTACATGCTTTACACAATGAAAATTGTACATAGAAAAACCACAAAGAAAACTGCAGCAAGACAGACTTTAACATGTAATAAGAAAAACACAATAATAATAAAGCGCAGCTCTCAAAGCTATAATGAATAATTAGTTGACATTTTCATCATCGGAATTGGTTTTATGGCTTATAAAAAGGGGAAAAAATAGACTAATGTTGAGGTAACAAGCATCCCTCAGGGGTATCTAATGATGTGACGTAGTGCTAGTGTGTCGAAAAGGACTGAGCTACTTTAGCATAAATATACTTTAAATTACAAAAGTTTTGTGCTATTTGTTCAAAAGGAAAGGTATAAAAAAGGAATCGGCTCAGACTGCTCTGATGTCTAATCTATTCTTAGCTAAGTATTGCGCGAGCTTACATTGATGAAGTGGATGAAAAAGAGTTTTCTTGTTTTTTCAAGTACTTGGAACAACCACCTTACAGTCCTCATCAGTCTCCACTCCAGCTTCATCCTGTGAGGGCAACACCAAGTCTATTATTAATCAGTACTGTGAACCACAAAAAAACACTGGCACAGAGGTAAAACACACACAGGTTGTGGCATCAGAGTTTTGTAAAGTAGATTTTATGAGCTGCTTCCACTCACCAGGAATTCCTTTTTGCTCTTAGGATACCCTTCCAGGATTGCATTTATCATGTCTGAAGCCTGAGAGAAACAAAGCACAACAAAGTTTAAAAATGTACAATCTGACCAAAAGTACGATCTGAGGAAATAATTATTGCATTTCTTTTGCATGATAACGATATCTTTATTTAATGTTTACCAACTGAAATATTTCAAATGTGGCATTACATGAGCTACAGTGGCAAAATGCACAGAAGTTATTTTGTGGCCCTCAATGAAATGTACTCAAAATTCAAATGACTTATTTTCAATTAACAATTAAGCCGATTATTTTCTCGATTACTCGTTTAGTCCATAAAATGTAAAAAATAAAGTGAAAAAATAAATCACATTTACTCAGAGGCCAAAGGGATGTCATCAAATTATGTGTTTTGTGCAAATAACAGTCCAGAAACTTAATTGGAGTTACTGTCATATATGACAAATAAAAACAACAATTTATCACATTTGAAAAGCTGGAACCATAAGATATTTGACATTTTGGCTGAAGAAAGTCTGTGTGATCTACTGACCAACTAATCACTGCAGCTCTATATACGTTACCAATCTCTTCCTCTTTTTCCACTCTTTCACGTAAACATCCCGCTCTTTGTAAACCTGGAAATTTAAATATTATGAGCAATGTACTACCATAATGTACAGCAAATGGGAAAAAACAAAACAAAACAGGTGTATATTTTTTTACTAGGTTTTACAGATAGTTTGCTGTGATTAGAAAGCATATTCCCAACCTTTTCTTTCTCTTCCGGTGTGACGTGATTTGTGGCCGACTTTATCTTCTCCAGACGTGCTCTGTACCCAGCACACTCTGCTTTCAGCTCTCGGATCTCTGACAGCATTTCCTCTGTTGTCAGGGAGCTGCTGAGCTCCTTCACCTCTGTTAGCAGAGATTATACACACACACACACACACACACACACACACACACACACACACACACAAATGTACACAACACCCCCTGTCAGAGAAATGCAGTGAGACAATCGCAGGGTTCCTTTAATCCAGAGATGTCTTATGCAAAACAGCAACAACCAGTGGCCTACAACAATTCAAATATCTTAAAGATAAATGGCATACTCCACCTGCGTCTAGTTGTCTGCAGATCTGGTTGAGGGACTGCACCTCTTCACTGAGCTCAGAGATCTGACAGTCCAAGGCCTTCATGTCTACATCCTTCACTTCTTTGAACTGGGCCTGTGGGAGATATTAGCAGCAACTGAAACATACAAGTACAAATAACAGTTTGTGCGTATGTTACTTTCAGTGCTTTCTGTCCACAGCAACACAGGATATCAGGTGAACAGACTAACCTGATCAGCAAAATAAATCTTTTGCTTGCCATATGTTTTCTCCTTTATCTTGCCCTCTAGTGCCAGCACCTCCATGGCTTTGACCACTGCCTAGTGAATCACAAATATGCAATCAATTATTAACTGTAGGCTATACACACACACACTGTATGCTATAGATAAGTGTTATTAATCTCACCGTTTTGCCCAATCCATGCTGCTTTTGTAAATTACAAAAGACATCCTGAGCGCTGTAGGGGCGGTTCTTCTCATTCAGATAGGCAAGGATGAGAGTCGCCACTGCGGGTGACAGCAGGAGAGTCTGATCATATGCACTGACACAAACATTCCCATATGGTACTTAAATTTAATATAACATACTTGATACTTGAAAACAAATGTGTACATGCTGTAAAAGTGATTTGGAGAAACCTCATATAAAAAGGCTGGAGAGCCTTGTCGTCAGCTAGCTTATCATTCTGCCTGTGTCGCTAACGTTAGCTAGCTGATAGCCTCCTAGCTAAACTTTCTAACTAGCTATAAACTCTAACGAGCGTCGTCCGATCGATAAGAGTGTCCGATACGCCGCATAGCCTGCTACAGTGAAAACCATCCCGATATAAAGCTAACTCTTACCGTTATCTTTTTTACTCATTTCTAATGCCTGTCCTTTTTTTCACTTTAGCTTCCCAAAACAAGTTTCGCGCGAAATCTGCGTCACCTCAAAGATCGTTTATGCCTCAAGATACATCCGGATGCATCACACCAGAAATATCTGCTCTGCGACAGTGGCGTCGACGACTCATCACATTCTCCGTTGATTTTATTAACAGCGCTCTTTTAACAGAGCGAGATAGATAAATCTTTGCTTAATAATAATAATAAAACAATTTGTTTACAACTTTGGCTGAATCCTACGTAAGAAAAAGAGGAACGTTTGAGATATCCGAAAAGAAGAGCGGAGTGAGAACTCTGTAATTTTGGCTGGTCTTAATCTCAGTTCATTCAGGGTCCTGGCCTAAAACATTTTGATGAATAATATTTTAATAACATTTCGTTCAAATGTGGGCTATTGTGTTGGAAAGAAAATACCTATACCATCTGCATAGTAATAAAACAAAATCTTGTACCACATATACTTTAATTGTTAATGGTTCCAAAGTTTCAGAGCTTATTTATTGTTGATTTGTCTTATATGAAAGACTTTGGAATAATCTCAAGATTATCTGTTATCTGATCTTTCTCTTCCTGTCACATGACATAATACTCTAGACAGACTTCATTGCAAACATTTTATTCAATACGGTTTGCACATCAAAACATATCAAAACCAGATACAGAGAAGAAAATACACTACTATGCACATATACATTATGAAACTGACTACAGATCACTCATACTGAGGAACTGACTCTTCATGGAGCAGCAATGAGCATGAACATTCTGGCTAACAGAGGTGGCCAAACCCGGTCAAACAAGCAAGACTAAGCTCTCCTCTTTATTTAGCCTCAAAACCCCAGCAATTTCCTATCCAGCAGTTTTTTAAAAATTGTGCTAAATATTTTGCAGCTATGGTTTTCCACTCGAAAGAACACCAGTAAAAAGAGCAATGCGTATTCAACTATTAAAAACCAGCCTTTTTAGACTCTTTGATATAAGCATTTTAATACATCTCAACAGTGGCTCGTTTTAAGTGCAATTTCCACTGTTAAGTTTTAACATACTGACATGGTTTGTCCATCAAAAGGAAATCAGGCTGACTAGCGCATAAAAGCCACTTTAAATCAGTATATACTAATACTTTTTTAAAAAAGGATTTAAGGATAACTGTCTATACCCAATTTTTATGTAAACATGTTTCCCCATTAAAATAGTAAAAGATCCATGAATTGAAGAATATTTGATTTTTGTCTTAAAAAGATCAGCATGACTGTCAACTACATGAAAACACAAAGATTGTCAAAGATATACAGACACTTGTTGAAATATTACTTTTGAGAAAGAAAAAAAACACAAAGCTCAGGGGTCATTCAAGGTATTAAACATGGACACAATGTGTCACTGAGCTGTTTTAAAGGGCAGGAAAATGAAAAAATATTTTTAACTCACAAAAAAATAACGAAGCACAGCTCATCCTGGGGCACAAGTTCATAAATACAATGAACAAGGAACACAACATCAAGTGTTCCTCTGGGTCAGATATCTTAAGACTGTTATGTCACACTCGTTAAAGAAAATGCATGAGGATGTCTTCATATGTTAGATGGCAGAAAAGGGAAAAAAATAGTAAAGAAAATCACACAAAGAAACTGTAACTTTTATCCAAATATTATTCATCTTAAATCACAGAAGAAAATCACTGTCAAACTTAGGGCTGCAACTGACGATTATTTTCATAATCAATTAGTCTCTCCATCATTTTCCGGATTGTTTGGTCTATAAAATTTTAAGAAAAATGTTGATCAGTGTTTCCCAAAACCCAAGAGGACATCCTCAAATGTCCTGTTTTTTCCACAACGGAAAGATACTCTGTTTACTGTCATATTGGAGTAAAGAAACCCGACAAGATATACACATTATAGAAGCTGGAATCAAAGAATTTGGACATTTTTTCTTAATAAAATGAATCAAAATGATTAATTGATTTCCAAATTAGCTGGCGATAAATTTTAATAGTTGACAACAAATTGACCGATTGTTGCAGCTCTATTCAAAATCCACAACTGCTGACAAGAGTTTAGAAAAATGTTAATTAATCTCTGTAACATTAAATAAACCATCTTTAAGCAGATGATAGTGACGTGTTACTTGAAAAGACAGCAGAGCACTAATATCAGCAGCAACATGGATTGCTGGTTCTTTAACAAAATATCAAAGAAATTGTTTTCTAATAAGTAAAAGAAACTTAAATTTTAAATGCTGTTACATGGCTGCAACATGGCTCAGCTCGACCAACAGGAATGTCATATTTGGTCCCATGTTAAATAGCCCTGTATGTGTAGATCTCCAGGTAGAAAAGATTTTATGGGCACTGTTCTTTATTTATAGTCACTAACAAGTACCCTTGTAACTTATGGTGTGTGTTAAATTACAAGACCGCAACAAGGCTCAGTGATGCTGGTTTATTTAATTTCTGAATGCGTTTTATTTTTTTGTCGTTGCATTTCCTATTGCTCAGCCTACAAAGTAAAAGTTTTCTGAATCATCAGGGTTTAAAAGTACGGGAGAAAAGAGTTTGAAAAGATAAAAAAAAAAAAAAGAAAATAGTACTTCACAGTGGTAAACTGATGCCAATCAGAAGCAGAGCTGCTGGAACCTAAAATCATCTCTTCACAACAACAGTCGCAGCGTGTCAACATGTCCACTGCCCATGAAGTTGCACTCATACACACTGGCGTACAGACACACACGCTCTCACACGCACGCACCCACCACCTTACTGTGGTTTACCCAGCAGACTAGACAAGAAGTTAGACCCCTGGCTCTCTCCCCGTCTAGTACCTCCTCCTCCTCCAATGGGATCCATCTGGTTGAGTTCAGACTGATCCAGCATTTCAAAGTCCTCTCCGTCCAAGTCTGTGTCCAGCTCGGAGCTGGACTGCTTGCGGTAGCTCCGATGGGCCCCGGCCCTGGGACGGCCTTCTCTGCGCTGGGCAGCAGGAGGCCGAGGCTGCATCGCCCCGGCCAGCGCGGCCTGGATCATGTTGCTGGCGATGATTCCGGCCAAGTCTCCGGTGAAATCAGAAGCAGGTGGCAGGCCGCTGAGAGAAAGTTCTGCATCCAGATCCTCCTGGTCCGAGTCCAGATGAACATCTACATCCAGCACTGAAGTCTGGTTACTAGTTAGCTCAAACGGACCCAGACTAGGTAGACCTATGCTTGTGTCATCGTCATCATCCATCAGAGTGGCATCGGGGTTTATGGAGGGGAAGTCTGGGAGGTCTTGGGCAAAGGATTCCTCAGCGTCACTGTGTCTATCAAAATCTACCAAAGCACATACAGGGACAGGCTGAGGGACAAGAACACACCACAAAAATAATGGAGAAAAAAAATCTGCAATGTCTGTGTACTTACCCTCAGAGCCCTCTGTGAGTGGAGTCTGCCCACGTGATAGGTTGAATGTTCCATTATCAGTGTAGGACGCCTCAGCATCAGAGTGCTCAGAGTCGGTCATTGAAAGTTCCTTCGCAACAAGAGCATCATCAAACTAGGAAAGACAGCAGATTAAAAAGGTATTATTAGTTTTTTTGTTTTTATATTATTTTACTCTACTTCAGTTATACTCTGTTTGCTCTCATACCTTCTGCAGGCACACACAAAAACGAAAATACATAGGTTCTTAACCCCAACAGGAAGTGGCTTAGATGAGCTACTGTAACTAACGCTGCGCTGACATACAAAGCCATGTACATTGTGGTTAGTATTTATCTGTATACATTCCACACTGACAGGGCACTTAATTTAAGTTGCCTTACATGCAGGCCGTTTTCTCATCAAACAAGCAAATTCAGTTGTTTTACAAAAAGTAAAATCCATCAGACCAGACAACAAACAAATGTTTATGTTAAGTGAAAGTATACCATGGATTTAGAAACTGTTTTGGCCAAAAGGTTAATTAAAATGTTGAGAGACTTGCCGTTGGACAGAAAGCAGCCAACTCCTCCTCACTGTCACTGGCTTCACCTGAGGCAGCATCATGTAGAGGCCTCCGCAGGACTGCAGAGCAAAATGACAAACATACATTCACTGTAGATGGTGTTTAGGATGGAGGAGGGAAAGCTGCCTTTAATTCCTATTAAATGTAAAGTTCACACACAACTGCTTTTAGAAGAGTAATGACAATACAGATGCAGTGAAAGTCTGATATGGCCAAAAATTATAATAAAAGTCAATTTCTGCTCAAATTTAATATGAAATTATAGCTGCTGTGCAACAGGGCCTGGCATTTTGAGATAGAAGGAGGAGGAGGAACAGGAGGAAGATGAAGAAAAAAAAAAGAGAAATACAGAAGAGGTCCATCAGCAGAACTGTCCAGACCAAAACATTAAACGCTGATCTGTCTCTGATCCACACAGCACAATGCCTGATTAGGCATCGGCATGTTTATTCTGCATCAGCCAGGACTTGTCAACCTCACAACCTTTGTGACAAACCACAGGCGACTTCACTCTAGGACATCTTTGACAATCACATGCATGCAAAGGCAGATTTCAAACTGGTGTCAAAAATTCAGTTCTTAAAACAAAATTTTGAGAATGTGTGTGTACTTCATCGAGACAACACAGAAATGTTTTATTTATTTTTTCCCCCCACAAAGATTGATTTCTCCATAAGAGACAAACTGATGTTTAAAGATGCTCTATTTCCATTGACAGCAATTGTTTAGATGATGACAGAATTAAAAATATTGTAAAACATCAGTTTTCGAGATAAAATTCTTAAATTTACCACACATCTACCATGTTTCATAAACAGTGGAGATTATTTAGAGAGTATTTGCAGTAGCTGTTTACAGTAAAACATTTGTTCACTGTGATTTCAATTCCATCGTTTGTGGAGGAACAAATTTGGGAGGAGATAAATACTCCCAGTGAAGAAATACAAGAGGATTCGGCAGAGCCTAATTAGAGCTGAAACGATGAACTATTAATCATATTAGCAATTATCAAAAAAATATTAAAATTATTTTTACATTTAGGAGAGGGGCATGTAATCAGTTTATCAATTGAAACTAGCATCATGTGGTTTAGTGCCACCAAAGCATTACCTTTACTACAGTACAATATATTACAGGTGACTGCCTTCGATGTGTCATATACATCATTTACTGATGAGCATCTGGCTAAAATTGAGCATAAGCGAATAACACTGTTAGTGGCCATAAAATTTGCGTGAAGATAACCTTAAATTTACGTTTCTTTGTTTCAGGTTTAAATGTGTCTTTGACCTTATCTTTCATTAATTTGCAGTGCCAGATCTGCATGAGGAAATCATCTGATCTAAAATGATGGTCATGTTATGTTGCTAAAATGGCCTGAAAATTGACAATTGTTCTCAGTATGATTAAAAAGAAAAATACAATTAATAGATTTGTTGTACTACTTACACTGATTATCAATGGGCTTTGACATCATGTATCCTCGAACACTGAAGTCCAGCCGCTGCAGGACCGGCTCCAGCTTCACGCACACATGCTGAAACAGCCTGTAATGGGCTCCCAGAGGGGCCAGGAGAGTAGCCAACACTAAAGGAGAGGAAAGCAATAATAGTCATTATTAAGGAGGACATTCTGTTGGGATAGTTTAGTACACGCGAGAAGAACATAGTGTTCATTTGTGTTCTGTATAGATTCAATAACTCAATGATTCTCATCACTGTAAGTAGACAAAAGCCTGAGTTAGTCAGTAAATATACAGACAGTGAGGCAGAGGGAGCAACAGGGAGTTAACATGTAGAGTACAAGCTGCTGTGGATTGTTTAAGACGTCAGAGCCGAGGGCCTTAGCAGCTCCTGCTTTCCCGGCTCTCCAGCCTACACTGGTTGGAGGTTAGGAGATTAGCCCAGTCTCAGTCTGACCTCCTTAGCTTTCCGCCTGGCTCCCTTCCCTCCATCTTTCCTTGTGTGTCTTTCATTCTGGCTTTAATCACCTCACAGGCTACGCCCAGGGTACTGGGGCCCCACAGATCTGGTTTCGCCACCCATGAATTTTTAATAGGATGAGTTTCCCTGCCAACGTGGTCCTGTGACGGAGCCTGGATCTGTAGTTAGGACCGGTTAAAGTGCTGGGACTCACCAGCAGAGTAGGAGAGCACCAATCCAGGAATGTAGCGTCCAACCACAGCTAAACAGGTGAACACCCCACAGGTCAGGAAGCAAAACTGAAACAACACACAGGAAATCACGTCAAGATCTACAATGCCTGTTGACTTTTTGTGTGTGTGTAAATAAATATATTAATAATAATTATTAAATATGGTCCTCACCTTGCCAGGGTTTTGTTTTTTGTATTGCACAACTCTAGATTTGAGAACTGCTCCACTGACCCAGGCCTCAGCGATGTGGTGGCACAGTTCAGGCACACTGAGGATACCAGGCTGCACCAAACCCCAGCTAGAAAAATAGAGAAAATTATTAACACCGTCATCTGCTTTTTACTTATGCCATTATTATTGTTTGCATTATCTGTAAGGGAATACTGGCTGGTTACAGTAACAAACCTCTCATTTTCTGAGTCTTCCAGGTTTCGGACTGTGGAGAGAGGGAACATCCATCACTTTAAGAAACATTACATACCATAATGCACATTAATGTAACAATATATAAAGTAGTCAAAATTATAGCGCACTTTCAACTTAAGCTCGTGTCCACACACTTTGGTCTCTTTGGGATTTTGTACACTTAATATGTAACACTAGCTCATGTAAGTTCAAAAACAGGTCTGGGAGATTAGCTGCTCCAGATATAATACAAATCACTTGCAAAGTCCAGAGTGTGGGCCTGCTGACTGCTGCCATATCTATTCTGACAAAGTACATTTGTTGCAGTCACAGTAAACTGGGAAATGATCGAAAGTACAATTAATACAAGAAAGAAGCGACATGACATTCCAGTGGGAAGGTAAAGGAAATGTACGGAGCCTGTATGAGTATGTTGAGAGACAAAGAGCCCGTATAAAATCAGCTTGTAGTACCTTTAATCGCTGGCCAGATTTTATTTCTCCAGGCATCAACACAGACAACCACAGCCAGACCAGAAGCCAGCAGGAACAGCAGACGCAGTGAGGTCAGGGCGAAGAACCTGGAGGAGAAAAAAAACAACAACACATGAACAGACAGCGCTTCTGATGCCCGTCACCCCAGGAGTGAACCATAGACAAAGTTAAATTTAGTACAGAATTCATGAAACCACAAAACCTTTGAGTCATGATCTACTGTTTCCTTTAGTCAGAACAAAGAAAAGAGGAACCGAATTATAGTTGAATGAGAATTATGTGGGATAAGAATATTGATTTCTCTTCTATAAAAGTTATGGAATATAAATAAACTGTAGAGCTGACAAATCAGGGAAGAGTTGATTAATGAAAACCTCATCCACTAACAACGGTAAAGCTACAGGCTGTAGATCTAGCTAGTTTTGTTTATTATCCTTTTATAAAAACCATGAAATATGACATTACAGTTAAGGACAGACATCAGACAGCAGAGTGCTCCACAACAACGTCCCCAACAATCAAGAATTAAGTACAACAAAATGTGATCGTGATACACAGGTGTTGTTTCAGGTGGTTTCCATCTGTGAAGGAGTGTTTGTGTGCCCGTTCACACAAACTGATTTCATTTCTTGGCGCTCAACAATTAAAATCCTGAATTGTTGCTCCACTTTCATCTCACAAGACTTACAAATTGGGTGACCACAACAACGTTACAGGATTTTGTCAATCTGTACTTAAGAGATTAACCTAACAAAGAATTTGTTGACAGGATGAGGTGTATTTGTATTTGGGGTAGCAGTGCAATTAGTAGCTACAGCTGGTTAAAAAGCACTTTTTAAAGATGCATTTCGATGGGTAGCGGTATAGGAGTGTATAACTTATATACTTAACTTATAAGTTATATCTGTTTTCCATTTGATGCTTTAAGAAGGAAAAATCAAGACAACCTTGGTGACCTGCTGTCAGAGAGGTTGTCGATATTGCCTCCCCATCCCCGTGTGACTTGCCATCGTCAGTCGCTTCATGCATTAGTACAGATTATGAATGCATATCTTTGGGCAGAAACTATCTCGCACCACTGAACGTGTGCTGAAGCACAAGTAAAAGGGAGACAGGACGGGCAGCCTAACATGCCCAGTGGTCTAATCGAATAAAGGCTCAGTGCCTGAGCTCCACAAGCATGCAGGCCAGGCCAGCCTTACCAGGTCAGTGATTCTTACCACACAACAATAAATGTCACCTGATTTAGCCAAAACATGTCCCAGTCCTACACTTTCACCTACTGATTTCTTCTGTACTTTCTTCATAATGTTAAAACGTGGTTAATCATGTGATTTTCTCATTTAAGGGCTGAGTGAATACAATCACACCTGGTAAAAGAGAGAGATATATATTGCAATTATGCACTTCATACCTTACAGATCTTGCGAACCAAAGCCACATAAAACTAGACCCACTGAAAGTGAATTTCCTCCTACATCTGTAGTGTCAACTCCGTGGAGCTGTAAATTGCAGCTTCAACCTCAATTTACAGCCCCGACGCAGCAACAATGAAACTGGTAAAGCTGATAATCCATGGCGCCACAGTGTGCGAGCAACATGACAGTTCAGGTAGAAGTGTGTTTATAAATAGTACCACTCACCGGCCATCTGTGCTGTCTTGAATTGACAGGTGAAACATTTGCATTGTGCAAAAGCACCAGCTGCTTGCAATTACGTTGGCTGTTTCGTCTTAACGACCAAACAGCCGCTGTGTTGTCTGACTGTAGGTTGCTACAACACTGACACTACAAAGACACTGAGGAACAAGTTTGACATCAACAAAGTTTAACACTAAACATCAGCTGAAACTCACCAGAACACGACGTTGACTACAGTGTAGAGAAGCGCGCACTGGAGGGGTCTTTCCCACACCAGGACGGACTGTAGGTAGGTCAGGACTGGCTCGTAGGGCCCCAACCTGGACTGGAGAACAGCTTTGACAGCCCGCACCTGACCGTCTCTCTCGCTGGAGCATGGTCGACTTCGCAGGCAGACACCAGATCCCTGCTTGGCAGAGAAATCCTCCTTGGATGCGTCTTCCATTGCACCAGTGTGCGCCATGTTTGCGTCTACGGTCGGTAAAGTAGGCCTGTAAAATAAAGACTTAGTGGAAACAAGTAAACCGCTTGATGAGGGACACCACAGCGCCACGGCGCAGCTCCACTCACAACATCGGCTAACACAACTATGCTAATGGGTTTCTAGGGGAACAGCCAGCTGAATCGCCGTGTTATCGTGTGTCAATAAACATCTGTCTCTATCAGGAGCGAGCACGTTATCAAAGACAAAGTGAACATATTTCATCACAAGATGACACTTACTATTTTGGCATATTTGCAGTAATGTAGCGCTGTCCTCGGCAGCTGACAATATGGCGTAACCTGTTTTTCCGAGCCCTAAGCAGTCCAATCAGAATCTGCACGAGCCCCTATGTCATGGTGCGTTCACGAGGAAAAGTTTTTTATTTGTTTTTTGCTTTGAAGCACTCCATTGACAAACATATTAGCAAGCCATCACCTTGACGCCTAACCTGTTGGGTTAAGATAATGTACAAACCAAATACAGTTTTAACAAAATCCATATATTTTTCGTTTACAAGCTCTGTCGCTTCCGACTTTATATGTAGTTGGTTTAAATGCAACAGAACTCTGATTATAAAAAATAATTTCACACTTTTTACACATAACGCTTTCATAGTTAGTTATGATCTTACTTGAAAAAGCGATCTTACAGATTTTAGATGAAAATTATTCACCGGAAATATTTAGCTCGCAGCTGTGTCTGCTTAGTTTTAATAGTGGAGTTAAAAGAAATGTTTGACAATTTATAATGTGTCTGCAGCGCCACCCGGTGGTCTTAATGTGTAACTACACCATATTGTAAACAGTTTTATTTTGAACGATATAACCGGAAGTAATACAATGCTATTATAGTCTAACTTGACTAGAAGGCATTCAGTTGTAGTTCCTAATTGTGGCCACTAGAGGGCAGGAAAACATGACTATAAATACTGCAGTAGCAGCAACTAATACTAAGAAATTCAACTGTCACATACAGTGAAAATGTATTAATAATAAGAATTTATATGTTTTAAAGCTTTCAAAATATGTAGAGGTGCAGTTACGCAATGTGGCCACCGGAGGGCACTGCACATCCATTATGAAATGCTATCAACTCCACGAATGTCAAGAACGAAATAATAGCATACTAATACTTCCGGCAAAGACATTCAAAATAAAACTTTAAATTACGATAGATACGGTAGGTGGCGGTATGCACATTTAATGGCGGTTTTTCATCAGAAGAAGAAGTCTGCTTCACATCAGTACCAAGCGGGAAGGAGCGGGCTAGTGGTCGTGAAGTAGTTTGAGCAGCAGCACTTCTTGAATTATTTAGCCAGCAAGCAGCTATCGGGCTAACGTTAGCTCAATAAGGAGCAACTGAAGACTGAACATGCCGCGGGAAATCATAACGCTTCAGCTTGGACAGTGTGGAAATCAAAGTACGTGAAGTTAAAGTTAAGATTACCATCCCTCTGCCCACATGAACATGAAGCTAGCTAAAATGTCAGGTTTATTGCTTTGTAAGGATGCTAGCTAAATGCTAGTATCAAGTGAAGCTCAAAATACAACATAAACAGCAATAACAGTACAGCCTAGATGAATTTAGCTGACGTTTGGCTAATGGGGTCTAAGTTTGTCTAATAAGCTTGCAAGAACATAAACGTGACCTCACGTCAATGTGTTTCTAACTGCTCCTCTCGCTGTTTTGCAGTCGGGTTTGAGTTTTGGAAGCAGCTGTGTGCAGAGCACGGCATCAGCCCAGAGGGGATTGTTGAGGAGTTTGCAACCGAAGGGACCGACAGAAAGGATGTGTTCTTCTATCAGGTAACTGGTTTAAGCACTGACTTCATCATCTCTCACGTCATGAGTTACAAAGGGCGTATATTGTTTTGCACAGTAAGGACGGTGTATGTTGTTTCAGTCTTTATTGGGTGACGCTTGAGTGCAACAGCATTTAGTGCCGCTAGGTGGAGTGGTTGTAGCATAAACTGAACTAACACAGCGCCTACAAGGACAGAGCAACCTACAGACTGCAGTATTACCGGCTAACCCCTGGTTATTCATAAAACTCCCCAGGCTGACGATGAGCACTACATCCCCCGTGCAGTTCTCCTGGATCTGGAGCCGAGGGTGATCCACTCCATCCTCAACTCTCCTTACGCAAATTTATACAACCCAGAGAACATCTACCTATCCGAGCATGGGGGAGGTGCTGGGAACAACTGGGCCAGTGGATATTCACAGGTGATCACCAGAAATGACACCTTTCTATCTTTAACCCCATGTCATTAATCCCAGTTAAAGAAGTAAAAATGTTATACATCTAAAACCCTGCTTTGGCTTTCCACCTCCCTTCTAGGGCAAAAAAATCCAAGAGGACATCTTTGACATCATTGACCGGGAAGCAGATGGCAGTGACAGTCTGGAGGCAAGTCTTTATCACATACCGACTGTCCCTGGGGCAGGGAGTGATCGGGGATGTGGCTGTGTGGGATGATAAAAAAGACTAATTGAAAAGGAATGTGATATTCCTGTGTGAAGAATTATTTAATAGTATAGTCAGACCACCCTCTCGCCCCCCTCAGCTGGAGCCCGAACCTCAAACATGCAACGTTTTTGTTTTGTTGTTCATAGGTAATGACTTTATTTCAGATTAAACCTGTATAAATAGTGCAGGTTTTGTCTAAATCTTGGACAAATGATGAGACAATGGGCCCCTGGACACAGACATGTAAGAGTCCCTTAACCCCTCCTACATTGGAATAAGACGCCCAGACTGAAAGGGAAACAAAACATAAACTTTGTCTATGTGGTCATTTCGTGTCTCGTTGTAGTTGATTTGCATCTCTTTGTGGTTGTTTTGAGTCTCCTTGTAATCATTGTTTTGTGTCACTGTCAGTGACGTGTAGGTGAAGCTCAGGTGGCCCCCTGACCGCTTGGGCACAATAGTCCTGTTCAGTAATCCATGGTCTGAATAGTATCTGGGATTACTTGACTGTACTCAGACATGACTTCTCTTAGTCTTTCAGTCAAACTCTTGTAACTCTTGGAAAAAATGCTTGTAGAAATGAATGACTTGATTGAAACTATGTTAAAAAGGGACCAGTACCTGTCATCCTAAAACTAGCAAAGCCCCAGCCATGCCTCGATAGTATTCTTAGCCTCTTTTTTTTATGTTTGGGCGAACTTTCTTCAGCTGCCAACCTCCCATGAAATAACACTCGCATTTCCCCTCTAAGGGCTGCAATTTCTGTAACTCATTCCCATTATGACCCCACATTATTATTTAGTATGTGCACTCATGTGTGCATTGGATAGGAAGGTGGGCCGAGCTGCCGTGAGCATGTGTATGTTGGCAGGGTGTGGCGTGTAGAATGTCTGGTGATAATAGCCGGGCGAGTGTAGAAGGCAGGTATTACAGGGCTGTCTTGGGGGGGTGGGGGAGCCTATTTGTGAGGTGGGGCTGCACACCCATTTATATAACTGCCTATGAAGAGAGGCATTTGCTCACCCACACACATTCAGCTTTCTGCATCAGTAGAGTTTACTGTAAGCGTTGTACACACAGTGCGCACGCTGCAGCTAGTAAATTTGGGAGTAATAAGTAATCCTTTGTCTTTGTAGGGGTTTGTCCTGTGTCATTCCATTGCTGGGGGGACGGGCTCAGGACTGGGATCCTATCTACTGGAGAAACTTAATGACCGGTATAGAAACACACATGCAACTTGTTTGAAAATATTTTCCCGTGTGTGTGTATCTTTTTTATATATTTTTTCCTCTGATCTCAGGTATCCAAAGAAGCTTGTGCAGACTTACTCTGTTTTCCCAAACCAGGATGAGATGAGTGACGTGGTCGTTCAGCCGTACAACTCGCTGCTCACACTGAAGAGGCTCACCCAGAACGCAGACTGCGTGGTGAGCAGCAGCACTCAGGAATGGATGTTGCTTAATCCCACTACTCGCTTTAATTCGCAGCGCAGCCATAGCTGTAAATAACCTCAGAAGATGGCATAAAAATTGCTTCTTTTTTTTTTTCTTTACAAGCCCCAGTTAGCTTGTAATTGTGCCGCTTGGACAAACCAAACACAGCACAGTAGCCAAACTATCTCAAGTCTCACAGGTCTATTACACACTGCAGTCACAGTGCCATAAAAACTTTATTTCATCAACCGAAATCTCCACTGCACTGGACTAGTTTTGGCTAGGCTTGTTTAATTTAACACCCAAAATACTGATGACCACATCTATGAAGAGAGAGATTGTCACTTATCTCTCTGAAGTGTGCGGTTGGTAATTCGACTTCCCAGTTGTCACTTGTTATCAGGATCCACTACAACATGTGAGTTCATAGTCTTTGACCTTGCACTAATACAAACTTTTCTTCTTCTTGTGAAAGTATACAACAGATGTAGTTAAGTGTTTTCACTTGTGTAGCAGACTAAGAAGCAATCTGCAGTGGCAGCATTGAGGTATTACAAATCGAACGTAGAAATTCTCTCTTAAATCTGTAAAATCGGTGATTGTATTAGTCTGAGATGCTCTGAGGATCTAATGGTGTCTAATACCTACTTCCTCCAGGGTCTTGCGTAAGGCCTCATGTTGATTAAATTAGCCACAGAGCTAATAGAATCTGCTCAAGAATCGGTCCCCTTGTTGCAACTGTACAGTGTGTCTTTTATGTTCAGCTCTCCTGACAACAGCACACTGTTGCTCCTTAAGAGGTTCCTTGACTGTCATTAGTCTTCCTTTAACATTGTAGCTGTGTATTGACTTTCAGTGTGTTGTTGTGCTGGAGGGAAACTTTTCTCTTCTGTTTTCTCTTCATTTGTCTAACAATTGCCCCGTGTGTGTGTGTGTGTGTGTGTTGCAAATCAGGTGGTCTTGGATAACACGGCTCTAAATCGCATCGCCACAGACAGGCTGCATATCCAGAATCCCTCGTTCTCCCAGATCAATCAGCTGGTGAGTGAAACATTGCTCAGTGTTAAAACCTACTCCCTCCAGTTGTTTTCTCAGGTCGTCAGTCAGCAGATTTTGGTTATAGTATTAGACTGCAGTTCACTGAACTGTATTTAAACAAAGGCAAAAGACAGACTGAACTATACATGTGTTGCTCACTACAAAAATTACAAGATTCACAAACCGGTTTGGCAAGTCAGTTGCACGTCTGACTGGATTTCGGCTTTCTTAGAAATTAGTTGCACATGGTTGAACTTGACAAACTTCCGCTCGTCAGTCAGCAGGTT